CTGATTAAGTGTGCTTGCTAGACAGGCAGGAAAAAAGTAGAAAACCCAAACTTCCTGGCTTGTTCACTTTCCTGGCACAGGAACATGCCTAGTACAAACTAGGGCAACCACATCCAAGGAGGGAGAATTCACTTTGGAGCCAGTAGGCAAAGTGTACTTATTACCACCACCTCCTCAAGTTTTTCCAGTGAATCCTCAAAAAAAATGCTGCTGTAGCATTTACTGAACCTGCCCACAACTTTGCCAGGGCCAGGACTCTACACCCACAGACAGAAATGGTAAAGTCTCAAACATTTTTAAGGTAGGGATTGATGGAGTCTTTCTCAACAAATAAGAATGGAACCAGCGAGGTTCCCTGCACAGGGACAAAGAGGCTTCTCAAACCTCTTTTAAAAAAATCAAAGAAAAGGAAAGTTCTTACTGAACAGAGAATCACTTAATACACTAGTTAACTAAGCAATTAACTAATAGCTAACTAATAAAACTGTCCACACAGGAAATCTGGAAGTCAAGTCCAAACCAAGTCTGCAGGCAGAAAGCTCTGCTCATTTGTCATCCCAAGTCCAAAACGTCTCCTCCGAAGGTGTTTTGTGCCCATTCCTTCAACAAACGAGCAGCAAAACTCCCACTTTTCTCTAAAAACACAGCAGCAGAAGATAATATTAAGAATAGTTTTGATGAATGCAGCGTTTTCCCTGCAGCTGAAAATATGGATTTAGTGTCCTTCACATAACTTATGGGAACATGCTTCCCATCTCCAGGAGAGCATCTTCATCACCAACCCTTATGCGATTTATCACCAAGCTTGCCCCCCTCCTTGCTGAAGTGGTATCGCTGGACAACAAGGAAGTCACGGTTTGCACTGTGTTTCCATGGCTATTAGTTCAAATACCTCCTTACAGAGGACAGAAAATGAGGGGGAGAAGGACGTGGAAGACTCATGTTTGGTCGCGGCATCCGGAACGTGTTGATATCTTAATCTTTAAGCAAAGATCACGAGCAGGTATCCCCCCCCCCCCCACTGCAAAGGCAAGTATCTAAGCAGTGACTACAACAAGCTGTAACTACTTCCCACGAGGGCCAAGTCAGCATCATGCTCAGCATTCACAGAGCATGACTATTCGTGTGGGCTCCTCGGAGGACTCGGGCTCTGGGACAGATTTCTGGATCCCAGTCAGAAACAAAAAGACGAAAGACACTACGACATATACGGACTGAGGCAGTCCCAGAGGCATACCACAGCACAACTGCAGGCACTTTAGGATACTACAGAACCAATTAAGAAAGTGCCTGGCCCATTCAAGAACTGGTTAAGCAACAGCCCAACAGGGGCATTTAAAAACATACAAATATGTACACATACACACACATATATACACATATATATTAAAAATATGTATACACGCATATATACACATACACACACACATAGATATATCTATATTACATCGCAATTTTGGACTCTACCAAGCAAGGCTGTACTGCTTAATGACAGCTCAACCATATTTGGCTTTGCACGTAAGCTCCTGCTCTGCTTCCCCCCACCCTCAACGTGACTTTGCCTTCAGTTTTGCAGCCAAACTCTACAGTCATAGTTTGGATCCTTAAGTTCTTCTTGGAGTTTTAAAGAATCTGTTTTGTTTTGTTTTTTACTTCTCTAACTAAATGCCATCAAAATCGCCATCACGCTCTGCTTCAAGAGGTCGGCCTTTTAATGACGGGGGCAGAATAGGAGGTATTTATACATAGGGATGCAAGGCTTATTACAAATAAGAACGTACGACATAATTATGTACAGGTTCTCCAAAACAGCTTCACAAATATCTGTTCTGTTTTTTTCTCTCTATTTTTATTGAAACTTTGTACAGAAGTTTTAAACATTTCCATACAATACTTTTAGACAGGACAAAATGCCATGGTAAAGGAATGTAAACTGCAAGAAACACAGTCTGAAGTATCCAAATACTCTCTAATAAGAGTTTTAGTCTGAAGACTAATGCAGTAGGCAAAATAATATGCATACAGTATACAAAGAACAGTATACACAGGGCCAGCAATGCTAACTATGAAAATTTTGCATCAGATTTACTTCAAAGATTTATAGCAATATGATAATTCTATACACTAGACCAAAATTAATTTATCATACATCGTTTCTATGACAAAAAGCTTGTCATTATGGACAGTAGCAACTTACAAGTATAATTAAGCTGTATTAATCTCATTAACACTTCTAAATCTATATTCCTACTACAATATTTTTTTCTGTATATTATCTTATAAGATCTTAACAGACCTTCAAATAACACTTGACCAAGAGAGACCTGGACCCAGTTACAGTGATCTTACCTAC